GGAGCAAGTTATTATTACAGCTTGATGAAAGTTTATATATATATAATATATATATAATTTTTTTTTTTTGGAGGGGGGAACTCAGCTGTTTTCAACATAATAATAATTATAATAAATGTTTTGAGCAGCAAATCAGAATATTAGAATGATTTTATGAAGGATCATGTGACTGGAATAATGATGCTAAAAACTCTTTGAAATCACAGAAATAAATTACATTTTAAAATATATTCAAATAGAAAGCAGCTATTTTAAATAGTAAAAAAAAATGTCACAATGTTACTGTTTTTGCTGTATTTTGGATCAAAAAATGCAGGCTTGGTGAGCAGAAGAGAATTCTTTAAAAACATTAAAAATCTTACTGTTCAAAAACTTTTGACTGGTAGTGTACTTAATCACAGGCTTGTTAATTATTCCTGAATAATTCTCACTCAAGGCTGAACTCAAAAGCTGGCAGCCCTGTTTGAAGTAAGTTGAAGTTTTAGGTTCCCTGAACAATATTTACAAAATTCACTGTAGCCTACAAGTTAATGTTAGATCTTTTGCTCCTACCACTGGTTAATGAGATGATAGAAGTAGAGAAATACGTTTCAATAGACTAACATTTGAAGTTACGGTAGGAATGTAGCTAATGTGGGGTAATGTGAAGTAATCAGCAATCGTAGGATTTATTCATACTTTTTTTATGCCAGGTTGGAGTTATACACTGATTTTCTGTCATGGACTATGGACCCCCTGAATTAGCTTTGGCCACCGCATGTATAAAACTCTAGATCCGCCACTGATGCTAACAAGACCTTTCCTTGGGCTTAAGTGTTTTAGTTTATTTATCAAAAATTACTGTATGAAAATAATTTAATCTATCATCTATGATTCATCTATACCTGGACCATACACAAATTAAAGGCCTAAAAAGGTCTTAAATTCATAAAGTCGTGGCATTAAATATTGCATGTATTACAAAAAAAAAATACCTTGTTTTCCAATACAAATATCCAAACATCCTTAAATCAAGATATATTTACTTGGAATGTGAAGTGAACACATGAAGTCTTGTTTTCTGAGAAATTGAGCACAATTAAGTCATTTTATGCTTAAAACAAAAACTAAAATATCAGTGAGGTATGAAAACGTATGAAAATTTTGATAAATTTCTCAGAAAATGTCATTTTGATTCTCAAATAAATGTTTCTTGATTTAAAAATCCATGTTCTAGTGTTTTAAAGCAGAGCTATTATATATATATATATGAGAGCTTTTTTAAAAATTCAAATTTTACTGTGACTCATCCTGCACTCACTCGTTTTGACCAATCAGAGGCTCTCTAGAATGAGAATGTCCCACCCACTGATGACTGGCAATAGCAAGCTGCAAATCAAAGTTCATGGCTTTTACATAAACTGAAGGCTATTGGCTTTTGTAAAAAAGAAAGAAAGAAAAAAGACCTTTAATATGTTCCTCCTTCACTTCCCGTTTGAATAGGAAGTATGTTAATACAGGAAATACAGCTGCACTTGTCAAGCCATTTAAAAGTAGTCCACACTTGTGCACTAGATTCCAAGATTTCTGAAGTCTCCGAATGGATTTGTGTGAGAAACAAACCAAAATGTTCAAGCAAAATCTACTGCAACTCTCAAATCTCTCCATTACACACATTTCAACTGGCTTGACGTGTTTACAACATGGCTTTGGGCGAAAAGAAAACATCTGGTAAGTGACGTGACACAGACAATGAGATGAGAAATAACATGTTAGACTGCAGCTATGTAAGCTAACAATTTGCTTTATAATAATATGCAAATTAAGGCTACTGTTGCAGTGTGGAATACTTTCAACAACTTTTTAATGGCTATAGTTCATGTCAAAGTCATGACTTGATCGTACTTTGTTTCTTACGCATGAATATTCAAGATTAAATAATGGGCAGAAAAAAATGGAATGAATTAAAAAGAACAACAACAAAAGGGCTGTTTCAGGAAAGAGCTCTTTCTGAGTTCAGTGGAAATAAGCGGAGCTCCACTCCGGGTCAGGATTTCTCCAAACCTTTCTAAGCCAGCACTGCACCAACAGATGGATGCCGTTAATTGCATTTTTCCTTTTTTCTATGGCGGATTATTATGATCATATTATGAATTTTTTTGTTTCTCGGAAGATGGTGCTGTACACATTTGCTTTTGTATTTCAAGAATTGGAATCACATTTCCGGCTGTAGTGTTCCATGATGCCATCATATGAACGTTTATTCATTCATGCATTTGTTTAAGGATTAGTTATTATTTCCTATTCCTCAACATTCAAATATTCTTTATGCATACATACTATATTTGGTTTATCTCCCAAAAGTCTACCAAAGACATTGCAATAGCAATAAACCAACAAATGTTGCAAGGTACTGTATAATGATGCACATACTAATACATACATATGCCGTTTGTGCAGTCTTTATGACCATTATCTTTTGTGAAATGAGTCTAATGGCTCCAGCTCACGGTCGGTCTTTCTCCTCCTCATCCACTGCTTTGATCTTTCTGACAAAATATTTGAGGAAGTGACATCATCAAATTATTGCAAATTAATGCAGTAGTGCTTTAATTTTAGTATATAATGTAATTTAATATTTATATTATACTATGTATTATATAGATAGATAGATAGATAGATAGATAGATAGATAGATAGATAGATAGATAGATAGATAGATAGATAGATAGATAGATAGATAGATAGATAGATAGATAGATAGATAGATAGATAGATAGATAGATAGATAGATAGATAGATAGATACACTCTAAAAAATGCTGGGTTAAAAAGGGACAAACCCAGCTATTGGGTTGTTTTGACCCAGCGGTTGGTTTCAAAACAACCCAACCGCTGGGTCAAAACAATCCAATCTGGGTTTGTTCCTTTTTAACCCAGCATTTTTTAGAGTGTAGATAGATAGATAGATAGATTCGCTAGTGTTGTTATTGTTTTCACGTGTGACATCTCACTGTTATTGAACACGTGCTTTGACCGTCATCATGCCTGGATGTCCTGTAGTCTGATTTGCATTGTTTGTTGAATTGTATCTAGACGTTCACATCCTTAAATCCAGGAAGTGAACAAACTTAATCAGTCACTCTGGGACTAATCTAGCACTAATCACATTTACTCGTTGATTGCGTTCTTTTTGTGTTCCAAATCAAAAATACCAAAGCACTTTCTGTTTTTATTTTCTTTTAAAAATTATCACTTTTTTTTGTTAATTTAGATTATTTTTTATAGAAGATGACAGAAACATGTGTGTGTGTAATTATTTATAGTGCATTTTAATCTGTAATAATGGGTTTCCTGTAGTCCATCTTAATCCCAGCCACATGTTCAGATGTTTAAACATCAGATCAATTACACAGACACATTCATTAAAGTGGATTTCTTTAAAGCGATCCAGAGACACAAAGAATTCAAATGAAAGCATGTGCAGAAACTGAATGGAGAAACAAAAAGTTGTAAAAAATATACGGATAGCATAAAGTACCAAATAAAAAAAAAAGTAGAAAAAAATGTGTGTCTGGGAAATGCTAGGTCAGGGAAAATGTTACACAGTCACTGAAATTCTGAGGTGCCAAGTTCAAAATATATATATAAAAAAATAGTTTCTTCATGCTAAACATTCTGGCTATCACATAAAATTTAAAAAAAGCAAAGGTGGCATTTTGGTTCATGATGTTCCACCCATCACAATCATCCCATAAATTCAAAATATCCCAACATTATTACTTTTTAAAGCACTTTAAGACATTATTTTTTCCAATAGAATGTAAAAATCATTGAAAATAAACTCTGAAAACATCACCTTTCCAAAATGGAAAAGGCAGCTGCATTTGTAAAAGGTAGCAGTTTGGAGGTCTGTGACTGAGCAAACTGAAGTATGAGTGCATTTGTGTGTAATTAAAACAAGTGATTATTTTCCGCTGGGATTATCCTGGAGGTCCAGCTGGTCTGGAGGATTTGAACACCCTCACCCTGGGCTGGAGAAAGGGCAAACTCCCAGGGGGCGAAGCCAAATTGGCTCCCTAACCAAGAGCTGAGAGCACAAACTATGCAAAATCAACAAAAACTGCCCCATGCACTGTTGAGAATGCAGCGCCCATTTTTTGGTCCCACCAAAGTAAAGAAAGGCTGGTCAAAATGGTGATTAATGTTCAGAAGACAGACAGTAGCTGCTTACAGACCCATGTTCAGGTTGAGAAATGATGAACTTAAAAAGGGCCAAGAAAGTATTTTGTTTGGTGCTTGCCTATATATTTAAATGACTATTTTGTAGACTTTTTTTCTCTTTTAAGTTTATCTCACAATTCAAAATGTTTTTTTTGTCCCAGAACTCTTGCATGATGTTTAGTTCCACCATGGTATAAAAATACAAATTGCAACTCTTTTGACTTTTTTCTTGCAATTCTTATTTTTTTCATACATAAACTTGTAGAGGTAAAAATGAGCAATTTTTTGCTATTTTTATTTTGTGGCAGAAACCAATCTTTGTACTATCCTACCGCTAGAAACTAACTAAACAAACCTTTAGCATATTTAATTGTCAACTATTCTCTTCTAGCAAAATGTACAAAAATAGTGAGGATTTCTCTTGTTTGCAGGACTGTATAAAATGTATACAATATGCATTTAAATGTGCTCTAAAAGAACAATGCCCCTTCTAACTACTTATGTAGCAAATCATAGTACACATCTGTGATGTAAACTATTGGCTATTTAAAACACAGGATATTCGATGTCATGCCACAACATCCTGTTTCATGGAAGGCAAGAAAACTTTGTTAAACAATGTCATGCTTCCTCATTATATAATTCTGGGCATTCAGCTGATGCAATTTGTGTGTCAATGTAACATGACAAAATTAGATTGCAAATGTGTGATTGTCATCCATCCCTCAGTCCATCAGGATTTTATTCAAATGTAGCCATGAGAATTATTTATTGTGTTTCATGTTCCATAAATGCCCCTTGAAATAAAATACAACAGAGAGAACAATTTGTGGAAAGGACAGCATTGTTTCATAAAAAAAAGGAGTTGAACACAGAAATTGATATACCTGTACATGGATGTTGATGATACACCGTACTTTTCTTCCCATTTGCTTATGTACATTATATTAGTTAATATACAGTTTAGTCACAGAAATGCATTTGATGCATGTAAATTCATATTCCTGACTTGGAAAAAAACAGTGATGAGGTTTATGAGTAATTAGGACACTCTGAAAATCTTCTATGATCCAGACTAAAGCATTTCAATGTGCAATATATTGAGGAAAAGCCCTTAAATAAAGCATAAGAGCTAAAGGTAATTTCAGCTGATCCAAATTTTGTATTAAACATAGTTGTATATCCATTTTATTTCAGTTAATTCAACATTTTACTGCTGTAAGTTTAGTGAAACAGGATATTTAACCCAGAACAATTTAGGCGATACTGGATTTTTATCCACTGGGAATTGATTGAATCATTAAAAGTAGGCGTTGCATGTCAAAATGGAGCAAAGCTGTTGGAGAGAATGGGTTGAGAAATACATAACATCAGCCAGGAAAATGGTTTCATTTTGATGAAAGATTACATGGATTCTTTCTTTGGAATAGCATGCACCACTTGTGCATAAAAAAGCAGGAACATGTACATGTACTGACTTAAGTAGTCCATTAAACCATTTTAAAACACAGTTTCCTACTTCAACAAGAAAACAAAAATTCCTCAAGCACCGATAAAAATGCTAAATTATTCACTTTGTAAGAGGAAATTTCCACTGTAGTCATTCCAACTGCATTTAGGGGCCTTTTCCTTATACCAGTACTCTCATCAAGTGAAAAAAAGTGATAACATTCCTCACTTAATCCTGAGAAATGAAAAACTCTGGGAAAAACTACATGTGGCCGTAAAGCTTTATAGCAAACCACCAAAATAACATCTGTGCAATATTACAGTTGCGATATGTGCAACACATCTGAGCTAAAATACATTCTCTACCTGAAAAGTTACATCCATGTATTTTTGTCCGTTTCCCATGATTCCATGCCATATTTTGTGACAAAAACAACAGGTTGTCCAAACATTTTCTTACAGATTAAAAAAGTGAAATCTTGTTCGCATTTGGATTCCTCCTGATTAGACACTTACACACACATTTACACACATCCAAACATGGTTAAAAAAAAAAAAAAAGGCAAGCAAAGAAAAGGTTACTTAGAAAAGAGTTCCTAAAGAAAGGTCTCGTCATACGTCTCTTCTGATTTATGAGGCTCACTGGATTGAGAGTCAGGTTTTAACATCTTGAAATGGTCACTAGGATCCTTTGTTACAGCATCATAGGACGGCGGAGAGCAAGCTAAGTACGGCGGCCCCTTCTCGGGGCCGTAGTGCTCTTTAATCATTAACGCTATGAGTCCTTCCCGCTCCGGAGCGCCGTCCTCTTCCAACCAGTGTGCGTCTTGGTTTATGTGCCTGTACAGGTAAGACGCCTGCTTCATTTGCCGTCTAATCAGGTGCCGCCGGTAGGCGCGCTGGATCAGGAACGCCGAAATCTCCTCCTGCTTGCGCCGCAGTGTGGTGGTGATGGGCTCATGGGATATCTTGGAAGGGTTCGCCATCATGAACTTCTCCTCCATTTGCTGCTTCAAAGCGTCCATTTCTCCCGTCTCCCCGAGGACCCGCTTGGTGAAGGCGAACAGGATGTCCAGGCAGTGGATCCTGTCGCCGCTGACCATAGGTAGATCCATGTTGATAAGTTTGATTCTGTTGGGTTTGGCGATCCTCAGAGGTTCGGAAAGGCTGTCGGCGAAACTCGAGAGTTTGGAGTACTCGATGAAGTGCGTGGCCTCTACGTCGAACTTCTCCCAAACCTCGTAGAACATCTCAAAGTCGTCCTCGCTCAGAGGTTCAGCGCTCTCCTCGGTGGCCACGCTGAAGTTCTCCAGAATGATGGCGATGTACATGTTGACCACGATCAAGAAGGAAATGATGATGTAGCTGACGAAGAAAGTGATCCCTACCGAGGGGTTGCCGCAGTTGCCCTTGGTATTGGTTCCGGTGTTGATGTAACTCGAGCTGCATTCTTCCGGAGAGTTGTTGAGAATGGGATCCAGTAGGTTATCCCAACCGGCCGATGTGGTGATCTGGAAAAGGCAGATCATGCTGTTCCCGAAGGTTTCGAAGTTGAACATGTCGTCAATCCCGCCCTGCTTCTTTACGTAGGCGAAGTTTGCCATGCCAAAAATGGCATAGATGAACATGACCAGGAAGAGCAGGAGGCCGATGTTGAACAACGCCGGCAGCGACATCATTAAGGCAAAAAGTAACGTCCTTATTCCTTTAGCTGCTCGTATTAGTCTGAGAACTCGTCCTATTCTTGCCAACCGGATCACTCGAAACAGAGTTGGGGACACAAAGTATTTTTCTATTATGTCAGCAAGGACAATTCCTATGAGGAAGGACAAATTAAAACCAGATATCAACACATAGAAGGTGGACTCGCTTGAAAATCTCTTGAAGAATGGCACTATGAACATCTCAGATCACAACAACCCAGTTGAAAAGACAAGCTGGTGTCTCTGCAAAGTTTCTTAACTGACTTAACCAAACCAGCAATCCTTCTTTGGCTTCACCATAACGGTGACCAGATGGACCCGTACCAAAGAGCTAACCAGTATAAACCAAGTTGGTCTTTTCAGCAGGGAAGTATCTTGAATTAGCCACACGTACCACTTACCAGACTGTAAAGTCGTGCACTTACCAACGATGGACAGAATAACGACTACAAAGTCAAATATGTTCCAACTAATGGTGAAGAAATAACAGCGGAGGGCAAACATCTTCATGAGGCATTCGGTGGTAAAGATGACAATGAAGGCCAGGTTGATGTTATTGAGGATGGTCTCCATGCGAGCAGATTGTTCATCAGTCTCGACCATCATGGTTATCATGTTGAGAATAATGAGCATCATGATAGTGATGTCAAAGGCTTGCTTGGACACCAAGTCGAAGAAGAATCCTTGTAAAATGTTCTAGATGGAAATGTGTTTATGGTGAGAAATTAGAAAGGGAATTCGGTATGAGATTTTTAGTTACAAAAATGTTCAAATTCATCATCTTACCACTGGTCTTGGAATTGGCTTCTGTGGCTTTTTCGATCCAAGTTTCTTCATTGCATTGTAGTACTTTTTCTGCTCTTCAGTCATGAATATATCCTGGCCACCTTTAGTACAGAGAACAAGCAGCTGTTATTTTTTTCATGGGACACAATAAATGTAAACTAAATGCTTTTGGAAGAGAAGTTAAACTTAAACACCTATCATTCTTTTCTGTTGATTGAAGTTATCGATGATGACACCGATGAACAGATTTAAGGTAAAAAAGGATCCAAAGATGATGAAAATTACGAAGTAGATGTACATGTAGAGGTTTATCTCTTTGACGGGCTGCTCCTCAACCTGACAAACAAGAACAACATAAATCTTAGAGACTCACAAAGATGGTTTTCCGGACAGTCTAAAGCTCTAAAATTAAGTTTCTTCAATGGTTCTTTGCAGCACCTTGGGTTGAAATTTTTCTAGCATTGGGTAACTGAGTTCCTAATTGGTTCTCTGGAGGTTAAAATGTTCTAGGCTCTTTGAATGGCTTTCTCGACAAACCGGTTTTCCAAAGAACTCTCTTTTAATTGGAACTATTATTTTTAAGATTATGATAGTTTGTAGTTAATACCTAGGTTATTCTTTTGTGAATTTGGATGCAAGTCATTAATTTCAGGAATGAAATGAACATGCTTACTCCACGGGAATCGACAGCAGCGTACATGATTTCCATCCAGCCTTTGAATGTTGCCTGAAAAACAAAATATTTAAGAATGCTTGAATGTCCATCTAAAAGAGAAAGATTGTCAATTTATTCAAATATATGTTCTGCTTCTAGGTGAGCACATTTCTGTCCATGCCTGACCATAGCGAAACTTGGCTTTTTAGTCTGAGGTAATTACGCATTTAAGTTTCATACCTTCTGTAAAGACAGAGTTGTGACTCACCAAGAGTCAGCATGAACGCCATTAAGCTAGGCCATTTTTGGATGTCGTTGCCATGGTTACAGAAATTATAACCTGTGGTGATTCAGAGACTGTTCCTAGAGGTAAATGATAGGTTAAGGCCCAGCGAGGAGTTGCAGGCCCCTGAAAAACTCTGGTTGCTTGGCTACCTTAACAAATATGATGATTCTACAGCACAGTCACCAAAAGTCCTTCCTGGACTGAACTGTTCAAGATGTCCAGAGTTCAGAATTTAAGAATTGGCTCCCTTTACATTAATGAGCGTGAATTGGAATTGGAATGGAACAGCGTCAGAAATGAGCTTTTCCCTTTTATAGCCTAATTTCCTTAAATTGATCATTTCCAAAATTTCCTTAAATGTATCTGTGTTGTCTTTTATGTCAAATACTTGAATTTAACCAATTACTTCAATACAATTTTAAGAACATCAACAAAAAGCCATCTTTACACTACAAAGGTGCATAAGAATCTGCATAACAGATTTACTTTAATTGTGCAGGAAAATTTTTTGCTCCCTTGGGGTTGATTTTTCCAAAACTGACATATTCCTAGACCCTTAGTTCAGTACTAAAACTATCAATACTGGTTCAGTATTTGGTTACGTACACAATTAGCAAGGTCATCAAAACAATTAGCAATGGTTTAAAAATAAATTATTTTACATTTTCTAAAAACATTATATTGAATATGTGTTGATATTTAATTTCACATGGGGCATAAAAATTTCCTCTAAAAATATAGTATAATTTTTCTACGTTTTGGGGAATTTTTTTCTCACCTTGTTATACTTTTGGTATGACCAGTCTCCAAAAAATGCTTATAAATTTACTGTTTTGCTATATTTTGACCAAATATTGGATTCAATCTTTCTGGCAACTTTCAACTTCTTTAGCAACTTTTTAGTTTTCTTTCAATTATTGCAGAGTTTGTATTTTTGGAACTGAATGATCATAGGTCTCATAGATCTGTGCTTACGCATTTTTGAATATTGCCAAAATTATTCACAAATAATGCTTTTTGCACTTTGACAAAAGCATTGAATCCAATATTTGTTGATAATATAGCATAATAAAAAGAGATTTACAAGCAATTATTAAATGGCTGGTCTCTTTTGACTGGAAACAAGGGTTACATTTGAATTTGAATTATAGTTATGCATCCTGTTTGGCAGCTCGTTAAAATCATTCTCAGTGCAATTCTGAATGGAGCACAACCCTCGAGACACTCACCACCTGCAGAAGTGAGAGGTATCCAAGGCCCACATTGTCGAAGTTGACTTTCACTTTGGTCCAGTAGAACTGGGTGTCATTCATGGACTGGCAGTCACTCTTGTTGTTGACCAGGGTTACACTGTGAATGTATCCTGTCCTGTTGACACATTTCCCGAATTTCCCAGCGAATAGATTTACACCCATGATGCTAAATATGAGCCAGAAGATCAGGCACACCAGCAGTACGTTCATGATGGACGGGATGGCCCCAATCAGAGCATTCACCACCACCTGGATGACAGAAAATTAGGATGTGATACCATACAGGAAGCAATCATAATGTAACTTCATCCAACCACAGCGCTAGATCACCAAAGCAAATTTTAAAAAAATCTTATAAAACTTTATGCATTTCTCAAGACATGCTAATTTAAAGGGTTAGTAAACTCAAAAATGAAAATTAGCCCATAAATTACTCACCCTCAAGTCATCCTAGGTGTATATGACTTTCTTCTTTCAGATGAATCCAGTCGGAGTTATATTAAAAATTGTCTTTGATCTTTCAAGCTGTTTAATGCCACTCAGCGGGTGTTGCATGCATCAGTCCAAAAGAAGTTAAATAAAAAGCAAATCCATCCATAAAAAAAGAGTGTCTCACACGGCTCCGGGGGGTGAACAAAAGCCTCCTGTAGCGAATCGATGCGTTTTTGTAAGAAAAATATCCATATTCAAAACGTAATAATCGAGCGCAAGCTACATTAAAGTTATTATTACGTTTTGAATATGGATATATTCAAAATATCCATATTCAATGGAGCCGTGTGAGACACTTTTTTTATGGATGGGCGCTTTTTATTTAACTTCTTTTGGACTGATGCATGCAACACCTGCTGAGTGGCATTAAACAGCTTGAAAGATCAAAGACAATTTTTAATATAACTCCGACTGGATTCATCTGAAAGAAGAAAGTCATATACACCTAGGATGACTTGAGGGCGAGTAATTTATGGGCTAATTTTCATTTTTGGGTGAACTAACCCTTTAACTTAACCATCCTATTCATACTAAATTACTGATTTTTATTTATTTTTTTGCTGATTTGCAAATCAGGATGAAACATAAAATGTCTTCAGAATCATTCATACATGTGAAAATCGCCAGACAATTGAACAAATAGTTGTGGTCTGGCACAGAGGAAGACAGGAATCGTGTCTTTGTGGCAGTTTTTCTGCTGATTAAGTGATAATACGTGACTTCTTCACCTTATGGCTGTCACAAAAGCAAAAATGCAACAAAATGCATCATAGTTTGTGAAAGCGTGACGAGCTTGAGCAAAACAGACACTATTGTTGCAATCGGCAGTCCAAAATTTTTAAGAAATGTATTGGACTTCATTCAACATATATTATGCAGAGCGGTATAATCGCAGTGAATTCCCTGTAAAACTGTAAGCTTACCCGCATTCCTTCGAATCTAGACAGGGCCCTCAGGGGCCTCAGAGCTCTGAGAGTCCTCAAAGATTTAATGGCCCCAAAGTCTGAGTAGCCCAGAGAGTTAGCAACCAAGCTAATCAAAGACACCTGCAATTGGAGAAAAATAAATTACTTTTTAATAAAATACTTAATATTAATAAGAATTTTAAAAGTAATATTAATAAAACACCTCTCTGAATGGCTTTTTATGTTAAATAGACTATAATATGTAACTAGATGCAATTTATTTATAAAAGGAAAAATATATATATATTTCACTTTTGGGACATTCTATAGGAACACATTTATTGGGACATAAATTAGATCAGTTTTACAAATCAGTTTTAAATCACAATAGGTTTCCACTCTATTCTACAGTCAGAGTAGACAGACAGTGTAGAACAGAATGGCTTTCTGTTGTAATGGCAGGTTGTGGCCACAGGAACGGTCGGCCGATGAGGTGAAATGAAGACAAAACACGGACAAGTATGCACATATGTACATCAATGTCTATACCTACATACTCAACTATACATGCATAATCAATATGCATATATATAAAATAGAGTGAGGTTTTATAAAGAATTTGGGTTTTTCTTTAAAATCATTTCTTTTGATCAGATTTTATTTTGCTTGTTTAATAATGTGATTTTCATCAGTCCAAACAGTGTTTAAGATTCAGTTTATAGATTCCATTTATGGATTATTAAATGTAGTCCCAAGAATGGTCAGTTCTTTATAAAAAACAATTTCTATAGTTTTCCTTGTCACTGCAATATATCTAAAGAAGATATTTCTCTGGAATTTGCTCTAAATGACAACTTCAGAAATCCAAGATTGAATGATACAAATAAAAGTACAAAATTAAATAATAAAAACGTTAAAATAGAGATTGCTCTTTAAATGTATCACATTAAGACGTGTCTCACTGTAATGTACCTTTAAAATGTAAATTCTTGATTTTTTTAAATGTAACCGATCTTCTCCAGATAATTCTTTGATACAGTGAGTATATTCTGATATAAAAGCCAAGGTCCTGTGGGAGTAATTATTAAACATATCAAGCTTGACACCATGTTAAATTACAGGTCGAAATGAATTGCTGACAGAGAGACAGTGGCATTTATATCTCGGCGTGGATGAGAAGAGAAGTGCAGCTGAGATACAGACCTTCGCTCACCTCTGACCTTTGAACTGTGAACTTACCCTATGGTTAAAGGTGTGTGTGGAGATCTGTGTGGGTCAGATGAGCATCAGGTGAGACACACTTGTGTTTAGTTGAGCTACTCCAGATGCTGTGCCAGGTGTTCATGTGTGGTTGTTTTATGTGTATTTTGTGCAGTTATCTCTGTGTCTGAAGGATGTGTTTGCCATAACATCTCAATTCTGATATCGCTCTGAATACAATCTGCCATAAAAGGTCTGAGGTGTCATTGTGCCAGTAACACAAAACCAGAATGATACAAAACTGAAACTTGCAAACAAAAGTCAACAAATTCAAAACTTCAAACTGAAACTGTATTATTATGTCTTTAATGTCAATTATGGATGGCTTAGACAGACTCTAAATTCTGGCTATATTAAGTTAATATAATGCTTGTTACACCTAAACAGCCTACAGTTTGACAAATTAACTGTTTTATTTGTGGATGAACTGTTTAATCTAATTAAACAGTTCAGAACATTTGTGTTCAATCGATAGGCCACGTCTGTGTCCATTTTACAGGTTTAGCATGATTAAATTAGTTTTATAAAACGGATAGTTCCGGTTAGGGCTGCACGATAAATCGAAATGGAATCGAGATCGCGATTCGACAGAAGCTGCGATTGTCATGCGTATCTTTCAGTGAAGCACGGTTCTGTGATCAGCAGTAAATCTCCATCCGCAGGCCAGAGGGCGCTCTCGTGCTGAAACTCCAAATACGCCTCGCAGAAGAAACCCAGAAAATGCCTATAGCGGTAGCTGGATAAACAGAAGATTCAACTGCTTTCATTGATTCAACATGACTAATAAACACACGACTTATACTAGTTCATTCAACTTTCAGCTTAGTTGAGGGCCAATAAACTTCCTTTTTCTTTTCTTGTTGTCTGGACAATTTATAAAAAAATTAGTTTGTCTACCAAAAAAAAAAAAAGTTGAAATGGTAAAATCTCAAAATTATTTTTTTACAGTGTATTATACTAAATAATACAATAAATCGAATATAGTATGACATATAGAACAGCATTAGGCAAAAAATGTTGAATGATTAATGTTTTTTTCATTTTTTGAAAGTAGTCTTTTATGCTGACCATGGCTCCATTTATTTAATGAAAAAATACAGTAAAAACAATATTATTGTGGAATATTATTGCAATTTAAAAGAACTGTTTTCTATTAAAAAAAGAAGAAACATTTATTCTCATTATCAATGTTGAAAACAGTTGTGCTGCTTCATATGTTTGTGGAAATTGATACATTTTCTTTTTCAGGATTCTCTGATGAAAGCATTTATTTGAAATAGAAATCTTTTGTAGAATTATAAATGTCTTTACTGTCACTTCTGATCAATTTAATGCATCACTGCTGAATTATTGTAACTGAAAAGTATTTCTTTCTTTCTTTTTTTTTTTAAATCTTACTGATCCCAAACTTTTGAATGGAAATGTATTACAGTTTTGACAAAAATATTAAGCAGCACAACTGTTTTCAACATCGATTATAATAAGAAATGTTTCTTGAGCAGCAAATCAGCATATTAGGAAGATTTCTGAAGGATCATGTGACACTGAAGACTGGAGTAATGATGCTGAAAATTCAGCTTTGCACCACAGGAATAAATTACATTTTAAAATATATTTAAAAAGAAATTTTTGACCTAATAAATGCAGCCTTGGTGAGCATAAGATACGTCTTTTAAAAACATGAAAAAAAAATAATGTAATTATTCCAAACTCTGCCTAAGTGCAACCGTTCAACATTGATCCAGTATTCAGCTAGAGAAAATTCTTCTACTCACATCCACAATCAGGAAGTCCAGCCAGCACCAGTAGTTAGTGAAGTATTTCTTAAAGCCATACGCAATCCACTTCAGAAACATCTCCAGCACGAAGATGTAGCTGAACACCTTATCAGCATATTCCAACACCACCTTCACCACCTTCCTCTGTTCAATGTAAATGTCTTCAAATGCCTGACCCAAGAAGAATATCATACCACAGTAAGACCAGGACTAGCTACACATTCAATTACAATATGGACAAATGTAATGCATGAATTACATTAATCTTTGACTTCAAAACCGTATGGAATAGTTAAAGTTCACTGTTCAGCATGGTTTCCTCACCAGAGCTCCACTGCTGAGGAGGATCATGAAGATGATGAAGGTCTCAAACCAGCTGTGCTCCACTATCTGATAGCACGTCTTCCTCAACCTCCACCACGCTTGACCCAGACCTCTCGTCGTGTTGATATTGCAACACTTACAGCGCTGTATACAGACTGGAGAGATACAGAGAGATCAGCTCCTCACAAAAAAAAATATGATACAGTATGTCAAAGTGGAAGCAATGGCCACAGGAGAGCAAATATTATCTTGTTTCATTATATGCTTACACTCAGGGAAACACTCTTCTGGATCCATGCCATCATCTGCCATCTCAGAATATTCCTCCTCATCTTCCCCAGGCTTCCTCAAGTCCACCGTACTTCCTTCAGAGAGGCTGACGACTTCCTGTTGAGCAAGACAGCAAAGCTTGCATTGAGTTTCAAATAAAAATGGACTTCAGAACTAATAATTTTAAATGAAAGTGGTCTCATGCTCACCAAGGCTTCATTTATTTGATGAAAAATACAGCAAAAATAGTAATATTGTGAAATAATATTACAATTCAAACTAAGTTTTCTATTCGAATATATTTTTAAAATGTAATTTATTCTTGTGATGCAAAGCTACATTTTCTGCTGCCATTACTGAAAGGATGTCTGTGTGCTTAAACCCCACATGCAATGCATACATCATATTCAATGCATATTCATATTCCCATATTCCATCACATTCCCACTACAACTACTTTACTTTTACTTTTAGTAATTTAGCAGACGCTTTTATCCAAAGCGACTTACAAATAAGAAACTAACTAAACAACTAACGATTAATGCGATGCATATGCTATCATTTATGTTCTTGGCTTCATATAAACTGAATCTGTTAATTCAATATTTTGGGTGTTAACTGCACAATATTGGTATATATTTGCACATACTGTATAAGCCAGGAAATCAGCATTGACTGAAAAATCCTCTGGGTTTGGCATGGAAAATGCAGAGAGCTAATAGAACGCATGCATCCCAAGATACATATGGTGCAAAACTAGCATATGCATCTAATCCACGAGCGCACAAATCAAGGTCTGTGACCTCCAGTATAATCTGAGATGGCGAGAGAGAGCTGTTCTAAATCTGCCTGAATGCACACTCATTCTTGTTTCTTTTTCTACATAGACAGTGGGCCTTCTTAATACAATTTTGATGAGATTTTCCCTGCATGTAATGGCAACATATTTAAAATGATTTACAGAGATTACAGGCCCAAAGGTGCCAGCACAATCCAATAGCGCTGTTTATGTAATCCCACATTACGAGGCGAACAGTGTGTGTGTGTGTGAAGCTGGATTACTCTTAATTTTGTGTCCCTAAGATGTCAAAATGGTTTTGGTAGAAGTTTGCAACCAGACAAATTCATTAAGTTCATTCTGGGATGGTTTTTATACTGTATTGAAAGAGTTTGCATGTATGATGCACACTTGTTGGCTACTTTTACTTCAGCCCACCCTACTCTGACCTATTTAAAAAAAATGTAAGAAAAAATTTAGTTTTGTGAAAAAAACATGCATAGGCAAAAATGACACTAAAAACAATACAGTACAAAATGTTTAAGCCTTTCAAACATAAATTCAGTCAAAACTAAACTTGACTGATAGAAGAATGCATGTACAAATTACCTCCTATATCTCTGCTTTATGATTAAAAAGGACTTGCTCTGTAGTCTGTTCATTCTTCATCTAATAATTAATGCAATGCATATGCTACCATTTAGGTGCTTAGCCTTGTATGGTGCATTTGTTGGTGAACACAATGTTGAGGCATTTTTGCACTGATCAGCCAGAAGAAATCACCCCAGTAAATGCATAGTAACATGTTAATATTGTAAAAAAAAAAACATTGCTGTATTTTATGCTATATTGCTTATTGCTGTTTTCTATTAAAATTGTGCATATCTTTAAAGGCTTAGTCCCATATGGTGTCTTGAGGACTCATTAAGACTTTGCTTGCTTGCCTCTATTAAAGTCCACAAGGACTTTTTGCAGCAACATTTGTACATTTCGAATGAGTCACAACACAATGTGTCACCAGGTCAAAGATTCCACATCATCTTGACAGGCCATATTAGAACTGAAAGAGATTTGAGAGCTACAGCTTAAGGAACGTTTTCCAGCAAATAACAACCTAAATCTAAGCTATTTCCTCACACTGAGCTGTCATTTGGAATTTAATGTTTTCGTATGGACCTATTTTGTTGTAGTTTTATAGTTCACCATCCCACCATTTTATACCCATATTCCCTGCACTCCTCTCCACTGCCGGTTTCTCTTATATAACAAACATGGCGTCTGGTGGGTTCACCTTGTCTGCTTTTGCAGCTTATCAGCTTATGAATCTGTACGTCCCCCCCACGTCTACGGCCGCTGGCTCGCTCACTCACACGTGACATATCATATCATCTCTCTGACCTCTGACCCCACTCGCTCGTTTGAGCTCCCGGTCACTCACAATATTCATTGGGATAAACCAATGAACCATTATATGCTGTAAATGAAGGATTTAGGGTCATATATCTAATTGGTCCTGATGTTAAATCCAGACTTTTAAATTTAACAGTGGAAAAACAAGTCAGATGGCATTATATCAATATGATATATATTATGTCAACCCATTGTTAAATTCTAATTTGAGTGCATTTTTCTATCAGATGCACTACACTAATTGGGGATTGTTATCAAAAGAATTCAATGATTCTAATTCTTTTAGATCCACTTCACAGAAATGAAATAAAAATTATTCTGGTTTCTATTAACAATTCTTTTTATACTTATATATTGTCTGTAATTTGACATGACAAAAGTAGAAGCCAAAAAGAATTGGCTTTACATGATAAAGTACCAGTGAATCACAGAGTGAATTAACCAACCGATTCAAATCAATATGTGAATCACTATGTAACTTGTGAGTGTTTTGACCAGTGCATTAAAGGGATAGTTCACCCAAAAATGAAAATTATGTTTTACTCATCCTCAAGGCATCAAGGCATATATGACTTTCTTCTTTCAGATGAATCCAACTGAAGTTACATTAAGAAATGTCCTGGCTCTTCCAAGGATATTTTTCTTACAAAAACGCATCGATTCACTTCAGGAGGCCTTTATTCTCCCCCCGGAGCCGTGTGAGGCACTGTTTATTATGGATGGATGCGCTTTTATTGGGCTTCTTTTGGACTGTTGAAAATACAGCTAAAAGTGCTACCGCCAGACCCGGAGATCGGCTGAATGGATTCGAAAACGGTAAAACTCAACTGTTTAACTCTAGGGGAGTTGGAAAATGAGCCTATTTTCAAAAATAGTGGAGTGTTCCTTTAAAAGTACTTGGCTCATATGAGTAATTTGCTCATGAATCGGACTAAACAACCTCAAGGACCTAATGAACCATATTCCCAACACCAAAACTAATAAATCACCTCTCATAACCTCTCACCGGTTTCTGATCTTCATCCTCTGATGACTCTGTCTCCTCCTCCTCCTCTTCCTCCTCAGGGAATTCCACGTCTGACTCTCCTGGCGCAATGGGCACACAAATGGTGAGGTTGGGATTGGTCATGTAACTGTCCTCTCCTTCTGGAGTAATGTACTTCCCTTCATGCCGCTCTAAACTTCCCACGCCGCCGTTGCACTCAGTGTGGTTCTCTTTCAGTGACGCCTGCACCTCTTTGGCCTTCTGTCTGTGCCGTGCCAGGTTCCCGTTGAAGAGATCTTTGATGGCGTCCAGCAGCCAAGTGAAACCGAAGTGGATTCGACTGATGGCTATCTGAAGGTTGTTCAGTTCTCCGTCATCGTCGGGTGCTGACAGGTTATCAGAGCTGAAGGAGCTCAACAACAGTGCCAGAAACAGATTCAACAGCTAGAGAGAAACCAAGAATACAGATCTGTAAGCAAATGATATGATTTGGATACACTACATTTGGAAATGTTTTGATGACCAGTGGTACATTTACTGAAATGGTGTTTACTAAATCTTTATATCCGAGTCCGACTAGGATATTGTAAGCGAAGCAACACATTTTTGGTTAATCTAAAAACCTTCAGTTACATCAACAGCAGTCTGTGTTTCTGGGAACAACTGTTTTTTATAAGATAAGCCCTTGTTCAATTGCAGGAATGCCAACCATTTATTTAAAAAAAAAGTCCCATGTTCATCATAACAGGCTTTTTTCTTGCAGTCTATTATAAGAGCCACTTTGTGGGTTGTCATGGAAACCTGATTAGTTGCACTCTTACCTTTAATCACACTAGACAGCAAAGATAATCCCAAACTGACTTGTGCCAAGAAAGAAGGAGATGGACTGTGTTACAGAGGGTTTGACATGGAAGGCCCACAGGAAGTCAAGTGATAACAGTCAGATTCCTGTTAAGCTTGATAGAAGTGGTCACTATGAGCTATTGTTTACAAAATATGTAAAAACTATAGGCCTAACCTAATGTAATAAAATAAATATGTTTAATACTAATCAATATCTGTTTGACATAAAGTCAGAATCTAAAATTTATACATCAATTTTACCGTTGTTGAGGTCATCGAACTTGCATCTGATTGGTGTAATCGTTGTAAGAGTCGATGCTTCTAAGATTTAAACCACGTGTTAAAATAGTGAAGACAGGACACTAATCGCATCCTTTCAATAGGGTAACTAACCAAAACTAAACAAATTGATAGTGAAAATATTTATAACCTTTTTACTATACAAAACCATTTAATAAGTGCTCAGAATCTGTGTGGCACTAACTCAATGCGCATTTCTCACACAGAATGAACCAACTGCGCGATTCCCGCTACGCATTTAGTCGTTACTGGTAAAATCTCCCCACAAAACCCCAAGAATAAATGTGTAGATTAATCATAACGGAACATTGCTCACGATAGGTGATTCGAAGTCCGACAGTAATTATCTAAAATAGCTACATTATTGAATGCGGGAAATGAGACAGATGTTGATTCAGTTACAGCCATGACCGATTTAGTGAGCCATAAGTGAATTCGATTCAAAACGGTAACCCGTGTGTTTTTTGAACGAGTCATTGCAAGAACCGATTCATACGAGTCATTTGTTCGTAAATCGGACTGTACTGGTCACGTGCAGCCCGCCTTTT